CCCCAAAACCCCAAAACCCCAAAACCCCAAAACCCCTAAAATTTTTTATTCTATTGAAATAAGAAAGAAATTATAGACCTTTGTTATACCATAGCTCTGTGACTATATTATATAAGATATGCTAAACCTACCTGAATTTTCTTTAGAGTCAGTAAGATTTTGGAATTCTTCTTCTAATCCAGAGACACCTGTCTTCGCTCTTTGTTCAAAAAGAGCTCAAGCAATTGGTGGGCCTAAGCTAATTCAGAAGAAGAAGACTACTGCTTCGAGCATCATTCTTGCCCACTTGTTCTTTGGATTAAGGCTCTTCTTTTCCATGTAGTAGAAAACTAAGGTTGAACTCAAGATGGGAGGAACTGGCATGAGGAATCGAGTTAATGCAGTATTCACAACTGCGCTTTTACCAATAATTCGAGATTTTCCTCTATCATTTCCTTCATGATCTATCAGAGATATTCCATTTTGGATTTCTTTTGATCTCATTATCAAGAGATTCAAAAATCCAGCTGAGCCAATTGCAGAAAGGCTGATAAGAACATTGATAAAGATCTTGCTTGGACCATGAAGCTTTTTAGCAATAGGATTTAAAAGAGCTTTGACCCCTAGACCAATACCTACACTGGTAGAAACAGCTGCTACATATGCTGTTGAAATGTCTTTAGTCGTTAAAGTACTTGAAGCATTTCTATTTGAGTAGTTTACTCCTGCAGAATAAGTCTGGTTCAGCCACTGCCAAAGAATAATATTGAAAGTGGTGGGCTGCGAAAGAAGCATACCGAACATCACAGGAATGCTTGCAGGAGCATAAGAGCATAATCTTAGCATTCTCGGCACTATCTCTCCTGTATCTGGGTGATACGAAGAGTCAACTATACTCTGAGCTCTTCTGATCTCTTTAATCTTCTGTGATGTATAGAGTATCGGCTGACCGTTTGATTCTTGTGCTTTCTTCTTCTCTTCGTCAACAATAACTTTAGCCTGAACGACTCTAGAGTGGGGGAGAAAGAAATTAAAGGAGTTTTGAGAGTTGACAAGGTTCAGTAATCTTCCTGTGTATGTATTTTGGGGATAAGCAGGAGAGTTGATGTCGAAAGGTTGGAGATCTTCTGATGGTTGAGATAGCATATTATGGGAACCAATTTTGATTTAATTATTCAAATTTTATTGATCTGATAGGGGTTTTGGGGTTTTGGGGTTTTGGGGTTTTGGGGTTTTGGGGTTTTGGGG